CGCTTTTTCACTAAGTTGACAGAGACCAGCCAAGCTTTTGACCAGATATTAATCTTATCTGGGACTTCCTTTTGGACAAGGGGGGGGGGGGTTGATGGCCGAATGGTTAGCACGGGGTGCTGTACCATAAGGTCTGTCATTGAGTCAACTGGCGTGGTTTCGAATCCCCCGTTGTACGTGACAAGGAGTAGGGTCGCCTGTCCAGCCTCGTGGGTTTCTCCTGGTCCTCCGGTTTTCTCCCATTGCTAAAGACCCCTACGCGCAAGCGAATTATTGAAATAAAATGAATAAAACATATGTTAGTCCCGAAATGACCTAGTTCGTGTCGTGTGGACGTTAAACCCCATTTCTCTCTCTCTCTCTCTCTCTTCTCTCTCTCTCTCTCTCTCCATTTGGGCAGTCGCGCTTTCAGTTGGGTCGCGGTAACCTTAAGTACCAGCTAGTATAATCTGCAAATCAACTAACATGTTAAGGTGTTTAAAAATATCATGAATATAAATCAGAAGATGAAGTGGTCCGATAACCGAGCTCTATGGAACACCAAGGTTGTGCGGCTGTGTTCGATTCCTGCATTGGTTCCCCCTTGTCAGTGATGCAGGACGGAGGGCCTCACAAGGACAGATGTCTAGTCATTCGGATGAGACAAAAAGCGAGCTTCCTTGTACACATTGGCGTGTACGTAAAAGATCCCTTGATGACAGATGGAATTCGATATAGATGTAGGCCGTAGTGCCACTGTCCGGACAAAATTTCGCTCATAGCACACTGTATGGCGTATGCACGTCTTCATTAACAAAACAGTAGGACACTAAAACCCACTTTATTTCAATATGTAAATTCTAATGGTATGGGAGTCGCTCTGGCTCAGTGCGAAGGGGACTGGCTCACTAACAAGGAGTTTCCGATTTCGATACCCGTCTTCGCCGAGAAAGCTCCTCGGAATGGATTGTCTTGTCATAAGGGTAGAGGTTGGGGCAAATGGGGTGCCCTGTGTCTATGACAGTTGGAATCATGTGAAGAGCAGGGGGAAACGCCGCTGTCCGTGCAAAACATTCATCAGGGGACATCACACTTCCGGTGCGCAACAAGGAACGGTTCTTAACCCTCGACTTAGTATCGTTCTTTAGTGTGTTGTCTCCCCTTCCACTACAGCATATATCGCCTGAACTAAACCGTAGAGGGTGCCAGATTGTCAGTCCAGAACGTCCCGCACTGACAGAAGTGTCATCTAGTGACGCGGAATTCAGTCACAGTTCTGTCACTCCTGACAACGGAGGAGGTGTGAGTAGAATCGTGACCTAATTAAACACAAGTTCTGTGTTTCAGCTGTCATGATTAGTTGAGATATTTTTTGGTGCATGTGATTATAGCCCGAAATCCCCTTTTTCACCAAATTGTTACTATTTTGGGGATTGAGAGAAGAATTCAATTTACGAATGTTCAATCGGGTGTCCCTACATGTCTTACGATTGATTAAGACCTTCACCTTGGTATTTATGGCATTGCGCGAGTTGTGTGGGTACACCGTCAGACAGCAAGTTACTGTAATCACAATGTCATTGAAGAGGAGTCACGAAAGACTTGACTGACCGCGACTAACTTCCTGTAACTCCTATATCCTGAACACAGAGAACTTTGGGAATAGATGTCTTCCCTAAATGGTCGCCATATTCAACGTTCTACTACTTTTAATGTGGTTCTAACGTCGTTCATACAAATACTTCATTTCATTGAAGCCGATTAAATACTTTTCGAAATTCTCAAAGCATATATTATAGTGTTTTCGACCCAAATAGTGGATGATGCAGGAATACAAATGTTGGTCAACTAGTTTCCAGTATTTTCTCAAGCACGTCACTATTAGCCCAGTCGGTTCAGAACAGTAGGACATTAAACCCCATTTAATTTCATTTCTGTTCTCAGACGGGGATATTTGTAGAAAAGACACGTTATGTTCTAGAAGTAATACGACATTGGGTTCCGTTAGGAGATGGAATGACATGAAATGGGGTTTCAGGCCCTACTTTCTGCTGCGACTGGGCAAATGAAGACGGACATACGCCATGCAGTGTGCTATGAGGGAACTTTTGCCCGGGCAGCGCCACTATAGCCTACTCTTATATCGAATTCCAACTGCCAAGAGATGTTTTACGATCGAAACCATTTTAATCAATGACAACTGGGGCCGGTTGTTCAATTTGTGGTTAAATTTAACCATGTGGTTACTTATAACCATGGAGCAACGGTGGCTAGGTGGTTAAGACGCTGGCTCGCTAGCCTGGAGGTCGGGTGTTCGATCTCTGCATTGGCCGAGTTCATCCAGATTTTCCGGCGTGGTTTCTCCTTGTCAGTGGTGCAGAACGGAGGGCCTGACAAGGACAGCTGTCTAGTCCTTCGGATGAGACGAAAAACCGAGGTCCCGTGTGTACATTGGAATGCACGTAAAAGATCCCTTGGCAGTTGGAATTCGATATAAGAGTAGGCGATACTGCTGCTGCACGGGCAAAATTCCCTCATAGCACACTGTATGGTCACGATTATCTAGCTATGGGGAAACTGAGCTATTTATGCACAATGTCAATGATATAGAGAAAGGAAATTCTTGCATAAAAGCACATGGTAATGAGTACTTACTGCTTCACTCCTTTGTTTATTAGTTACGCCTTTTAGGTTACTGTCAAGAAGTTTACGTATATGTCGGTAAATGACGGTGGCTCAGTCAGTGTGACGCAGGATAGCTATACTGGGGGTCGCGGGTTCACTAAGGGTGTTGGCTGAGAAAGTTTATCTGGAGTTTCCGGCGTGCAGGAGAGGGGCCTGGCAAGGACAGCTGGCTAGTCGTTCGGGTGGGATGAAAAACCGAGGTCCTGCGTAAAGATCCCTTGGCAGTTGGAATTCGATATAAGGGTAGGCTGTAGCGCTGCTGTCTGGGCATAATATCCCTCATAGCACACCGTATGACGTATGCCTCTTCATTAGCCCAGTCGGAACAGATCGGTAGGACGTACAACCCTATTTTATTTCCTTCTTTTTTATGTTTAAAGGGACAATAACACTCTTGCTGACTTGAAAGCCCCAGAAAATAAATAATATCTCTATCTAAGTACTAGATGTTTAAGTGTCCTACCTGTTGTGTAAATTATCCATTACATCCTATTTTACTTGTCCAGAGGGTTCGAAAATATGTTTAAATCGAAGTTTCACTTGAAAAGGTTTACGTTAGACGTTTTAAACCATTATGTTGAATTTTTCAAAATTTTTAAATAAGGTGTGTTAAGATGAAATTTGTATCATCAATTAATTGAAATATTCTAAAATAGTACAATTTGTTGACCAGAATAAAGATTGGGATATATTATTCAGTTACAACAAGAGTGGTATTGAGCCTTTAAAGTGGAAGGCATGACCACGAGAACTTGCCTGACAGCCACCTTTACTGATTTAGCTACAAGTTAATCATTTAATGATGCCCTTCTAGATGGGTTAAATATTGACCATAATAACGATGACATAACCATGCATTAAATTTACCGACACGATGAACAACAGACTTCTTCAGTCGATAAATATAACGATGTCCTTAAAAGATTTATTGACAAGTTAAACAGTCGAGCCCTGGTAAAGTTGATATCCAATGTCCGTGATAATTGAATGTAATTATAAATTGTTCTGCATAGAAACTTGAGTCAGACTCAAACTTTGGTTCGTTCTAGTAACCTGGATCCTGTTTCACAAAACCTTAAGTTAAAATCAGTCAAATAGATTTTAACTAAAATCAAAATGAAATTTTAAATTTTATGCGTTTCACGATGATCGATTGTAACTTAAAATGCAATTTTAATAGAATTTAGTTAAAATTGCTAGCGCCCGCGCAGTGCATATTTCCGGTGCGGGCACCTCGGGTGTAAGCAAATACGCTTTGGAACTGAAAACTGTTGGCAAGTTGAATTAACGATTACAATGCCAATGGGGAGAGTTCCATACATTGTAGCAATGTTTTCACATGTTCAGACAGTCGTAGCTAAAGAGGTGAAATAAAGAAGTTTATTGCGTATTATTCATTTCGAAATGTCTGGGTGAGTTGCCCTTGAACTTGCATCTGCTTTCGTGACCTTGACATTTGATTTACTCGCAGGCTTCAATGAACATAATGCGTATCGATAGACAAAAACGCTCTGAATTTTGTAGTTTTGTGGTATTTTGGATAACAGTAACTATTGAGTATTGCCACAAACATGATATATGCCTATAACATTTTTCAACAAACGCATTTGAGATTACTGATTTATCTTTATACAAAATCATTATATTCCGAAAACCATATGAGTAAATCCTTTCCATATGGCATGTATGGTATTAAAAGCCTTTAGGCCTTCTAATACCAAGAGAAATTGGTCATTTTAAACCATTGTAGGCCCACACGAGAGTGCTCTTCTTTCCATGACATTAGATAAAAAATATGAAGTGAGTTCAGAATTTATTTTAGAGTTTTTTTCTTGTCTGTTCAAACATGGAAAGCGCAATAGAAACTGCCATAATGTGTTTTTGCTCTATATAAATTGGTGTAATAAAACTATACGCCATGTTTCATCACTCTGACCTAATTAGAAGTAAAGTTACCGTGTCCCAAAGCATTAACTAATCAACTTGTGTATTTCTGCTTAGTGCTTATCATCGATGGGCGGGAGGACGGCATACTAATTTCATAGTGCCATGCTTTCCTTGAAAGATTCTACCTCCGTGGTTAATAGAAATCATGGTGGTGCTAATTTTGGTTTCAAATTAAATCTGTTTAAAAGAAGAGATTAAATTATATTGGCTGACAAAATCCGAAAAATACCCCAAAACATTCCGAAATCAATCCGAAAAGTACAGATTTTTTAATGATATTAATTACATAATTCCGAAAAACTCGAAGTACTGAAAAATCACTAAATACCAAAAAAAAAAAAATACTAATTCCCGAAAACCCCATAGGCCACACATAATTGTTCGGTGGGTTATGGGCCAGGTTTGGCCATGCATAAATACCCCCCCTTCTTACGGATAGATTTGGTTCCATGTATATCTTTCTGTATAGCTTGGCTCACAATCAAACCAAATATGAAAGCTCCCAATGTTATAAACGCACACCCAACAAATATCAAAAATTTGATACGATTCGAGTTGGTTTGGAATTCTGGACCTTTATCCTGTTTATCCAACATCGATTTCATCAAACACATACCTTAAAATGTAAATAAAAATAAAACTTTATTTAAATATTTTCACGAATATCATTAGTGTTGAATAAATGATTATTCAATTATTTTTTGAGAAACAAGATTTTTTTTATCACATTCCATGCCAGTTATTCAATAATACATAGACCTGTATCATGAAATTGTGATAAATACATAGCGTAAATATTCTGCTGCTCGCCTCTTAACAAATGGTTCATAGAGATACTTCTTGTAAACCTGGATAAACATTAACGTGCGGTATTCTTGTTGTATTCTTAAAACTAAAAACAGGTCAAATGGCGCGGGATCATCTGGGCCCTTATTCACGAAAATTTAAACTAAGATACAATCGAAATTTTAAGAAATACTGCAATTCGATTGGCTGACCAGTAAAATCAATTTGCATATATCCAATGAAGTTGCAGTATTTCTTAAAATTTCGGTTGTAATTTAGTTTAAGTTTTCGTGAATAAGGGCCCAGATACATAGAAAATATTTTTATAACTGCATGCCCACTTTATGTCAAACTCACTGACCTGGAAATATGAATATTAATAAAGCAGAACAGGCTCCAAGAAACTCAATCACTACTCCTATATTTGGTATAAATATTGCCAATGCCACGGTGATCGTAAACCATACTAACGTTGCACTAATCCGCATTTTTCTTTCTCGTTGTTCAATAACCTCTGGTGTTAATCTTAAAGCGGTATTCCACACGGAATCAAAAGCAGCTCTGAAAAAAATGGAACATTTATTAAAGATGTGAACTGAGATGAAAGCGGTACACCACCCTTCTTTTCTGTATCCACCACCTTGGTTAAAGAAGACGTATCCCATGATTTTCGGGAGATTTTGTGTGACAGATAAAATGAAATAACATGTATGAGAGAGAGCGAGAGAGAGAGAGACCTTGTGATACAGCGCGCACGCTAACCATGCGGCCACCCAACCCAACAACATGTATGAGGGGAACCTTTGTCCGAACAGCATTGTTTTCATCTATACTCTTCACCGAATTCCAGCCGCCAAGGGTTCTTTTAGGTGCACATCAACGTGGTCACAAGGCCTCGGTTTATCGTCCCACCAAGCGACCAGGCGATGTTCCTCACGAGAATTAATTATTAATGAAGAAAGTCCAGTTTTCACTGTGTCGTAATGAAATTACGAATGTTTTAATCGTAAATCGCAGACTTATGAAATCTTTTTTATAAAAATGATGGTATTGTTCACTAGTATAATATGGTATTGTTCACTAGTATATGAGGAAGAACCCTATTGAATATCAAAATATTCCAGTTATGCAATTTCCAAAGTTTCATTACATACGCATTTTGAAATATTAAACTACCTGCGCAGGATTTGTTTGTCATCATTTTAAAGCACGAACGTCTTTGGTGTTGGTGGGTGCATTATTGGATCTGACAAGCCCCTAGCAATGTTTGCTGCAACTATAGTTACCTCACATAATAATAATAATAATATCGTATATGTTGTATGCTGTATAAATACACCCCCAACAAAGTAGTGATATCGGATCTGTCGTATATTTTTACCCCACCCCCACAAAATAAAATATCGGATATTTTGTATATGTTTCAACTCACCTCCCACAAAATAATAATATCAGATATTTTGTATATGTTTCAACTCACCTCCCACGAAAAAATAATATCGGATATGTTGCATAGGGTTAAACTCCCACAAAATAAAAACATCTCATATTTTTAAACTCACCTTTCAGATAACAATAATAGCGTATATGTTGTATATGTTTCAACTCGCCTCCCACAAAATGATAATATCGGATATTTTGTATATGTTTAAATTTACCTCCCACAAAATGATAATATCGGATATTTTGTATATATTCAAATTTACCTCCCACAAAATAATAATATTGGATATGTCGTATTTGTTTAAACTCCCACAAAATAATACTGTTTGATTTGTCGTATATGCTTAAATTCACCTCCAACAAAATAATAATATTGGATATGTCGTATATGTTTAAACCCCCACAAAATAATAATATTGGATATGTTGTATAAACTCCCACAAAATAGTAATATGAGATATGTCGTATATATTAAACTCACCTCCCACAAAATAATAATATTGGATATGTCGTATATGTTTGGGGGGTTGGATGGCTGAATGGTTAGCGTGAGCGCGCTGTATCATAAAGTCTGTCATTGAGTCGACTGGCGTGGTTTCGAATCCCCGGTTGTACGTGGCAAGGAGTAGGGTCGCCTGTCCAACCTCGTGGGTTTTTCCGGGTCCTCCGGTTTCCTCCCACTGCTAAAGACCCCTACGCGCAAGCGAATTATTGAAATAAAATTAAACCATATGTTAGTCCCGAAATGACCTAGTTTGTGTCGAGTGGACGTTAAACCCCATTTCTCTCTCTCTCGTATATGTTTAAACTCCCACAAAATAGTAATATGAGATATGTCGTATATGTTAAACTCACCTCCCACAAAATAATAATATCGGATATGTTGTATATGTTTTTACTGCTATTAATACTACGGCTATAACCACTGTGGTATCAGGATCAAAGGATAATATAATATCACTAGTTATTCTGTGTCCGAACTGCAAATATCCTAGAATACCTGTCACGGTATAAAATAATACACACAGTACCATCGCTACAGACACAGTTTTAGAAAACTCTTTTAAATTTCTTTTTTCCATACAGGAATAAATGGGAATAATGCTCACGTGGCACTGAAATTTAAACAAAAGTCTTTTATAAAGTTTTTCCATACTGAAATAATTTTTTTAAAAAGCTCACGTGGCACTGCAATTCAACCAGACATAAAATATTAGTTTCTAATTCTTAATTTCTCATCAAAAGACAACAACTTAGCGTTGATATCGTTGACGAAGCAACAAATAACTTTTATAAATGAATATACGACACTAGCAGATCAAAGACGTCATTTTATATACATAAAATTTATTAGTTCATTAAAATTGTTAGTAATCACGCGGGGGGCAGTAGTAAAACATCATACGTCAAGTCGAAAAATATGCACTGGACCTGGGTAGACCACCCACCCATTAAAATCTTGCGTAAAAAATATGCACCATCATTTTTAAGAAAGACCACCCTAAAATCTTGCGCAATAAAATGTGTTCTTCAAAGTTGCTCAATTGACCACCCAAAAATCATGCGCAAGAAAATGTGTTCCTCACAGTTGCTTATTAGACCACCCTAAAATCTTGTTTCTTGAAATATCTCATTTTAGACCACCCAAAAGTATGTGCAATACCTAACTACTAAAAGGCAGAGCAAGAGAACAAATGACAAGACGATATGTTTTAAATACAGTATTTATATTGAGTTGATGTTCGACAAAATTCTGAGTCTGAATTATTAGCAAAGATAGTCTAAGACTGCCCATATGCAGAGACAGGCTAAAATATATGAACTTATGCTTGTACCTATTCATTTATTGTGCTTTCCCATATCCACTCTAATCTACTGATCACAGGTTGACCAATTTTGACCAGAGTGTGAAGAAGTAAAAGATTACCCAAATCTCATCTCAGCATGCTGCGGTGTTGCGGGTAAAAAAGATGTTGACCCTCTCCACACGACGTGTTTATTCGGAGTGGGCTTGCAAACCAAATTGACAGGACAACAGTCGACCAAATCACGGGATAACACATGCATGACATGCTAAGGCTTTGAAATATTAATGAATATTTATGTAAATAAACATATACAAGAAACAGGAGTTACAGTACAAAAATAAACAAGTTGACAGTTTTCTTTGTTGACAGTTCTAATTCAATAATTAGAGTTCACGAGTCACGGAATTCACAGTTCACAGATTTCATGGTTCACAGAGTTCACTATGTCTATGGAGATCCGCCATGTTAGAAAGCATGGGTTTTCACGAAATTAAAGTTCACTTTCCCGGAGGAGTTATAAAGTTAATCACAGTCGTCACCTTACGACACAAAGTTCACCATTCACTTAAGTATCACAACTGTCCTAATAACATAGAACACCAAACAACACCTCCGCGACAGGGAAAAAAACAGTATCGACACGGCATTGTAACATGCTTAAGGGTGAATCTTGCGTTTTGATTGGTGGATTAGACACTGTCGATTGGACAATATATAACACCCCTCTGTTTTAGCAAGGCGAATATAAATATTACAGTGTACTTTTTTTTCATTTTGTGCTCAGCCATCTTCCTCAACTCAAATCTTTATTGACAAATATTTTCAAGAAATTCTGCCCAAATGACCATCACACTATTTTCAAACTTCATCCAAACACATCTCTGAAATATATAAAACAGAAGAAAATCAGTCATAAACAGGCATCATAAATTATTCGTAACTAAGCAGTGTGGTCAATTTTTTTTTTTTTTTTTTTTTGCACTCTCAGACTCTGCAGTGTTTACTTTAAAGTGGACAATTTAAATCAAAGTTTGACCAAATTCTGAATAACATGATCCGCCTGATAATGAGTCATTAGTCTCAAGAAATTGTTTGAAAATATAGTCACTAGGGGAGGTGAAATAGCAGCTGATTTGGGCCTAGGAACGGGAAATTATGCTAAAATTGACAATGATTGACAACACGTCAGAACGATATACATAGCAACCACTTGAATCCTAGGCATCACATAGTTTTATAGGGTGTTCTGAGGGGTGTATGCAAGAACTGCTCTTCTCTGAACAAGAACTAGCAATAAAATTGTGTTGACGGTCTGCAAATAAAATAATAAAGGCTAAAAACTCACCCACGTTAAAGTTATCAAAACTTCGAAAGTGTAGCCATCATTGTTGCCAAGAGTTATCCCTGTGTAGTCTCGGTTAACAGGTCGTAACTAATTCATTCACGACTGGCATAACCGGTCAAAAAGGCCACACTAAGGATAATTTACTAATCTTTTTAAAAATCTTCAAACGTTAAAAATATTTTATTTGAAATATTCGAATAGCATTTTCTTTAATAATTTATTTACTAGCGACCCAAGACTCAAGCATTTTAAAATTGAATTTATCTTCGCTTGGATTCGACCACTAATTCGACACACCTCGGTAAAAAAAAACGGCAGCACGTCACAACGTTTTCTTACGTCAGTAAACTATAATTTTGGATACGGTCTAAAATACGATTCTATTTTGATGGAGTTGTTATTGATATGAACTGCAATTTTCTTGCAGGGACCTATTAGACCACCCAATTTTCTTACCCAGAAATGCTTTTTTTCTTTCAGAACTCTGTTAGACCACCCAATTTTCTTACCCGGAAATGCTTTTTTTCTTTCAGAACTCTGTTAGACCACCCAATTTTCTTACCCGGAAATGCTTTTTTTCTTGCAGAACTCAGTTAGACCACCCAATTTTCTTACCCGGAAATGCACTTTTTCTTGCACTTTTTTCCGCTGGCAGACCCACCCCACCCCCTAGTTGCTGTTTGCATTTTTTTTACAGTTGCTCCCTGTAATCACGCAGAAGTCATTAACTAGATGTTATGTTACTAAGGTGTTAAAAGCGTGACTATTGAATGATATGCACTACTATGTTCTACGTTTGTGTATTCAACAGTGATGGCTGTCATAAATGGTCACGCTTTTACACTTTTACAGCTAGTTACAGACCCATCACTTTCTATGTATACTAAACATTAGATTAGAATAGTGACCACTTATATCAATGAATGACAATATTTGTCATTACTAAGAGACCCAGGTTCATAAGTCAACGGTATCAGTTTACCAGTGCAAGTTATAGAACATCCTTTTTATTCCTAATTTATTTACTACTTCTGGGTTTATCAAGCAATGATCGGAAATAAACCAAACCACCATTTACATTCATGAGCAAAACAAATTATAACAATCAAAACAAATTATAACAATCAAAACATTAAAATTAATTCAGAGATGATAATAACTATCTCTTTCCTTTCACAATATATAGTTAGCTGCTGCTGAACGATTTTATACGCAATCCATTAATTGTTGTCCCGACACCTACTTATATAAATGAAATGAAATGAAATGGGGTTTAACGTCCTACTGTTCTGCTCCTAACCTGGGCTAATGAAGACGGGCATACGCCATACAGTGTGCTATGAGGGAAATTTTGACTGGGCAGCGGCACTATCGCCTACTCTTATATCGAATTCCAACAGCCAAGGGATCTTTTACGTGCATTCCAATGTATACACGGGACCTCGGTTTTTCGTCTCATCCGAATGACTAGACAGCTGTCCTTGTCAGGCCTTCCGTCCTGCATCACTGACAAGGGGAAACCACGCCGGAAAATCTGGATGAACTTTCTCGGCCAATGCAGGGATCGAACACCCGACCTCCAGACTAGCGAGCCAGCGTCTTAACCACCTAGCCACCGTGGCTCCCACCTACTTATATAAAGTGAGAGAGAGAGAGAGGGAGAGAGATGGGGAGGGAGTCGGACCAACTTATATACAGAGGCGGATGAGGAGAGTCGGACAGGACCAACTTATATAGAGAGAGAGGGATGGGGGAGAGTCGGACCAACTTATATACAGAGAGTGCTATGATGGACAGGGCTACTGTAGACGGACAATAAAACATCAGTGTGCTATGGTCGACATGTTTGCCCTAAAACGGAATTTCTGGTTACACTTCATCGATTCTAACCGCGATGTGTTCTTTTACATACACCCCATCGTGTACACAGGACGTCAGTTGTTTGCCCCGTAAGACGACCAGTCATTGTTACCTGCCAGGACCCTTACCCTGAACAACCGACAAAAAGATACCATTCTGGAAAATCCGTGTAACTCTCTCGGAAGCAAACCCAGTATCTCCTGATTAATATAGGTAGAAAACGGGGAGTTATTTGTTTGAACCAACCTGATAAGCAAAACATATCTCTGGAATTACTAGAAATATATCCATCCAATTATCTGGTCTGAAAAAAAATAATCTACGATTCTTTAAATTGTTTCGATGACATTTAATAATTGAAATGAAAATAGTGGGAGAAAAATGGGGGTCATTTCAGAACTAACATATGGTTTAATTTTCTTTCAATGAATAGTTGCGCGTAAGTGTCCTCAGAAGTGTGGGCGGGCGGGAAACCGAAGGACTCAGACAAACACCTACGAGGTTGGACTTGCGACCCTACTCCTTGTCACGTACAAGCGGCGAATCAAACCACACCATTTGATTCAATGACAGACCTTATGATCTGTGACTGTGAGGTAAACTTTCGACCACCCAACTGCCGAAATAGAAATACACAGGACACGAGTCTATTGAATACATTGAATATTGTTCTTGGTTAATCACTTGTATCTTGTATACCATATCTTACTTTGTTTTAACATAAGTCGGTTTATCACTTGGATCTTGTAAAAAATATTTGACAGCCACTATAACCATTAAATATAAAATACCAGCCACGCCCACAAAACTGAAACAAATATTGGACGACAATATAAAAAACAAGGGGAATTGAATATTTAGCAACAAACAGCATCCTCTGCACACAATATAATTATTTTATAATATAATATAATATAATATAATATAATATAATATAATATAATATAAATAAAATATAAATAAATAGAATATATTATGGATACAAATAGAATATATTATAAATAGAATATAAAGAATACAAATAGAATATAAAGAATACAAATAGAATACAAATAGAATATAAATGGAATATAAATAGAATATAAATAGAATATAAATATAGATTCGGATATTTTTTATTCTTGTCATGGTCAATCTATGTTCGTTGTAATTAAAAAGTCCGTTTTGACCACAATTTTGGGACTTTTTGTCTATTGACAACTATAAGTTTAACTAAAATGTTTTGTTGAGCATTTTGTTAATCAATGTTAAAGATACGTAATGTAAGAGCTAAATCTACCTATGCCTATCTTTTTGTCTGCTTTCAGATATTATATAAATTAGTATTTAGACACTTATTCACGTGCCAAGCCCATAATCAACCCTTTAGTAGTCCATTGGATGACACGGATAATGAATAGATGAGAACATTTTCGCCATTTAATAATTTACTATAAAATGAATAACCAAGACTTTGTTTATTATCATACCAATCAAAACTATCGTGTCAAAACACTTGCTCAGAAATATTTCATATTCATTTTTCATGATCTATTTTTGAGCTATTATACTAAGAACAATCAGCCTTGTATCTACATCTTATATAATTCATCTTACATAATCAATCTAAATTCATTTAAAAATAAGATATATTATATATACATCTTATATAATCAATCTAAATTCATTTAAAAATAAGATATAAATTCTAAACAGAATAATTACCTGGCATACGTTAAAAAATCAATTCTTTTCGGGAAACAGAGTGGTAAAATAAATAAGATGGAAGTCACGACTATGGTAAAACGTCTATCCATATAAACTGGTCTGCCATGACAATACGTTTCTTCACTAACAAACAAAAAAACTGAAATGAAAAGATAAACTACAGATTGCATCTTCATGAAATTATTTATAAATAGCGAGGGGGTTGGCGTCCGTCCGTCCGTCTACAATTGTTTGTGGACACTCTACAGGTCACAATTCTTATCCGATTTTGACGAAACTTGAAATATAGGTTTATCTCCAAAGGATCTCGGTTGCTTCATGGATTATGGCCCCTGTTTGTACGAAAAATCACGGTTTTAGCTTGTGGACCCTATAGAGGTCACCATTTTAATCCTATTTTGATGAAACTTGAAATGTAAGTTTATAACCCAAAGATCTCGGTTCCTGTCCATATTCGCGCATATCGGACCGTAACTTCCTGAATTATGGCCCCTGATTGTACGAAAAATCGTGGTTTTAGCTTGTGGACCCTATAGCCTAGAGGTCATAATTTTTTATCCGATTTAAAGAAATCGTATTATTATATCATCGTTACACCCTAAGGACGGCTGAGTTCGAATTTCGTGAAAATCGGCCCAACACTGACAGACAAAATGACCGCCCTTCGTTCTCAAATAGCGTAAAAAATATGGTATATCAAGGTTGGGGACCCTATGAGGTCACAATTTTTATCCGATTTTGTTGAAACTTGAAATCTCGGTTGTTTTCGATATTCGCGCATATCGGACCGTAACTTCCTGCATATGGCCCCTGATTATAGATGTCATATTATTTATTCGATTTGTAAAACCGTATTATATCACCGTTACACACGGCTGGTATATCAAGGTTATGGACCTTATAGAGGTTACAATTTTTATCCAATTTTGTTGAAACTTGAAATCTAAGTTTATAATCCAGAGATCTTGGTTCCTTTCGATATTCGAGCATATCGGAAGTCACTTCCTGAATTATGGCCCCTGGTTGTACGAAAATATCACGTTTTTAGCTTGTGGACCCTATAGAGGTCATAATTGTTATCCGATTAAAAAAAATCGTTTTAGTATATCACCGCTACATCCTAAGGACGGCTGAGTTCGAATTGCGTGAAAATCAGCCCAAAACTGACAGACAAAATGGCCACCCCTCGTTCTCAAATAGCGAAAAAATATGGTATAGTAAGGTTGTGGACCCTCTAGAGGTCACAATTTTTATCCGATTTTGTTTAAACTTGAACTGTAAGTTTATAACCCAAAGATCTCAGGGTTTTTTTTTCGATATTCGCGCATATTGGACCGTAACTTCCTGAATTATGGCCCATGATTGTACGAAAAATCGCGTTTTTAGATTGTGGACCCTATAGAGGTCATAATTTTCATCCGATGTAAAACAAATCGTTTTAGTATATCACCGATACACTCTACGGACGGCTGAGTTCGAATTTCGTAAAAATCAGACCAAAACTGACAGACAAAATGGCCGCCCCTCTTACTCAAATAGCGTAAAAATATGGTATATCAATGTTGTGGACCCTCTAGAGGTCACAATTTTCTTCTCATTTTGCTAAAACTTGAAATGTAAGTTTACAACCCAAAGATCTCGGTTCCTTTCGATATCCGCGCATATCGGATCGTAACTTCCTGAATTATGGCCCTTGATTTCAGACCATAACTTTCTGGAGTATTGCCCCTAATTGTACAAAAAATGCTGTTTGTTTTTAGCTTGTTCTCTATCCATATCTTGCAAAATTTGGGCGTATCCTGGCTGGTAGCCGCTGGTTATATCTTAAATTTAACATCACCAATGAACAGAGCGAGCCAGAAACCCCTAATATAGAGTCAAGATGAGGTTTACAAAGGGAAAATAATGAAGATTTTTAATCAAATCTAAATTATTACCCTGAGTTTAACCCCCACTATCTTCCGGGGGGGGGGGGGTGTGCAGGGGGGCTAGGGGGGTCAGAAAGAAATAACAAAAATATGTTCATACATGGGTAGGGTAACTACAACGTTTGAAGGGGGCCCCGAATTTGAACATCAACGTTTGTAAAATAACACCACCCACTACTTTGGGAGTGCAAATAAAACAGATCTTGCTAAATTATACAGTTTACAATACCAAGCAATATAGCCAACCCATTGCGCCAAATTTGTGGGTTAAACACAAGGCTGAGAACTAAAGAATTAATACGGGGATCACGTGGCTAAGTGGGTAAGACGCTAGCTCGCTAGCCTGCAGGTCGGGTGTTCGATCCCTGCATTGGCCGAGAAAGTTCATCCAGATTTTCCGGCGTGGTTCTCCCTTGTCAGTGATGCAGGACGGAGGGGCTGACAAGGAAAGCTGTCTAGTCGTTCGGATGGGACGAAAAACCGAGGTCCCGTGTACACATTGGCGTGCACGTAAAAGATCCCTTGGCAGTTGGAATTCGATATAAGAGTAGGCCGTAGTGCCGCTGTCCGGGCAAAATTTCCCTCATAGCACACTGTATGGCGTATACCCGTCTTCATTAGCCCAGGTTAGGAGCAGAACAGTAGGACGTTAAACTCCATTTCATTTCATTTCATTTCAAAGAATTAATAACCGACCATAACTATAAACCAATGAAGTGCGAATGCGGCAACAATTTAACAATTAATCAAGTCGTCACGGCGTGCAATAAATTAAAAGAGAAAAGTCTGTTTGTAAGAGATTTAATGGAAGATGCCAACTTTCAATGTGCCTTTCAAAATATACCCTCTCTCCCAACCATATTTGATCTACGAAGCGATTTCAAAATTCATAGTAGAATCGGGAATTCAATGTTGAGTTAGTTGCGCAAAATAGACCACTATATCACTAATCATGGAAAAATAACTGGTAGTGGAGACCAGGTTGGCGGCTAAGCCACTTGGTGGTTTAATAATATCAGAATAAATTAACATTAATGTAGTTAGAACAGGATTTCCAGCTGATTGATGCCTGGTATCATCAATCAGCTGGAAATCCTGTTCTAACTTGTTTTTATAATGCCCTTTCTTCTCACATGCGAATTGTAACACCGTGTTTTAATGTGACATTTTGATATACATTATGCTTATACTCATTTGCTTTTTTTTAAATATTACTCCTATGTAAATAACTGAATTAAATCAACCTGTCCATAATATCATATAATAATGTACTGGACGCTAAATTTGTAATAGACAACTAAATTTGTAATAGACAACAACAATTTGTTACTGTACTTGCTTGAAAACTATCTTCAAAACGTCGCCCAAATTAATTAGTAATTGATGTTCCATAAGTATGGTGGGATGGCCGAATGGTTAGCACATGCGCTTGCCGGGAAGGAGTTATCTATCTTGCTTATATTGAACATATTATATAACGGGACGTGATAAGTCCTATTTATTTTCATATTTAATATCTTAGCTGTGAATAATGGAATATTTACAATAACTTACATTCCTCCCATTGGTCACCAATAATAATTAGAAAGGTTATACACGCCCCGAAACAATAACAAAAAAGACAAATGGCCGCCCCTGTCTGAGTTTTCTTTCCACAAACTGATAAAACTACATCTTGATACGTTGCCGCATCACTTAAATCAGAACAGTAGGCCAATATCATGATGGCCGCCACGATGAACACAAGAAATATCTGGAAAATAATAATAATAAATAGAACAGGTTTTAATGTATTGTCAACAAAACACTTCAGTCATTTTGGTTCAAACCAGGGGTGTATTCGCAAGGGGGTTGAGATGGCCTAGTGGTCTAGAGTGTCGCGCTTCAAGCCCCAGCTGACCGGTCACCTCTGACTTGCGGTTTCGATGCCTGATGTGAGCGTATGTGGCTCATAGAAGAATTGAAGGAGACAATCCCATACCCTTTCTTTTGCCATCTCATCTCTTGTCGTCGTAGCTTGTGAATTAACGTCTGCTTCTAGAATAGTGATATCGCGGTCAATAACAAGAAAAGGTCAAGCTATTTTTATCGATAAAACAAAAAATTCCATAAATATAAAGCCAGTGGGCGAAGGAAAGTAACTTGCATATTCAATTTTTCATAACCAAAAGTACTAGATCCTGTATAGTGGTGAACATTAACAATGATGCTAATGCTATTATGTAATCTGTTTTATCTTGGTTTGAATTCGTGAATATTCCGTGAATGTCCAAGTGGTTACTGAAGTAGACGGGAACGATACGACCGAGGAAAACGAGGATGACTGTGTGCTTAAGGTAACAACTACGATTCCAGTCTGATCATAACCAGCTGGAAAATTGTACCAGGAAAAGAAGATTTATATGCTCTTGTTTTTCTTAATCCGTCGGAGCAAGATTTTTTTGTTTTGTTTTAACAATTATAAACTTACTGATTGTATGCTTATAGCAACCACCACACCTCCAGCTTGATCATAAGCAGCTGGAAAATTAAACAATGCACCTCCAAGAGCTTCATTTACCATCAGAAACGACGAACTGAACCATGATGAACCTACATCTGTGGGAAATTTTAAATAATAGACAATAGTGGATGACTATGAAACTAAACAAGAACCGGATCAAAGAAAACGTACAACAAAATAAAATTTGCGTCCTTAGAAAGCAAGATGGAGTAAATACTATACTTTTATACACCAAGCAGAACTGAAAATCTGTGTCGTTTTAAACATCAGTAATAGATTGTACGTTTCAAATAATTTAATTGTGCCCTAAGAAATTTGTCATGCACGGTATATTAAAGCTTTTCAAGTATTATTGCCATGACGACAATGATGATGATGATGAAGATGATGATACTTCTTCACGTTTCAGCCAATTCCTTCATTCGTTAAAACAACAAGGAAATTAATTGTCATGCGTTTGGTACTATAATATGAATTGTATTAAAGAAATTAAAAAATTATGCTGAAGGAAAAGGTGTTTGTTAGTATTACAAAAGCCGTCGATATTATCAAACGCGTCAAGAGTTATGTCTGAAATTGTGATAGTTAGTACTGCGGCGGATTTTGTAATATTATGAAAATACATTTGGATTTATGATTGTTACGGTAGAAGTCCTTGATTGCATCACAATATTTGATACAGGTCCATAAATTAAACGCTTTTATCACACACAAAAATTCTATGGCTCCTCCATTTTAGCCCGGGAAAAAGGTTGTGCGCTGGAGTAATCCTTAATATGCTACAGCTTACCAAATCAGCTTAACTTAATAATAAATGACCTAATTCATACTCAATGAAATATGATAACCTATTACAAATTAACCTAAAGGTATATATATGTAACAAAGTAATATTAATTAGATATAAAGTAGAACGGTACTTAATTCTAAATTAAACAATGAATACTCTGTAGTGTCGAGTGTATTTATCCAAACCCCGCTTGGCATGTAAGGCGTCCGCATAATCTAACAATGTTACCTATTTTGAGTCTAAACATAATCTGAGCCGTAGCCACGGCAAAACAGCAATATATAGGTTAAATCCCGCTGGTAGCACGGGACTCCGTGGATGGGTGGAAGTAGTCCCGGTTATCCTGACGGATACCTGTATTATACAGGGCAAAATCACAACACACCTCCCCTGGTTCCTGGTTCTGAAAAAAAATATCCTACTCTTCACACTCACACTTTCAATCACACTAGTAACGGTATACAGGTACACCGTATCATTCACACATCAATCAAGAACAAATCGGTTATAAATTCACCGAAAAAAATTCTACATACACACACAGCTATTTAACGGTTTACACCAAAGTCACCGTTGGCATTAAGTTTAACAGGTAAATATTCAACATCGTAATGTTGAAGACATCTTCACTTTAAATTTTGTTCCTTTACTTCGAAGGAATGATTTAATCTTATTTCCTAAACTCGAAAAATAGCATTTTATTTTGGCCAGATATTCTCGTATTCGTAACAAAGACCCTCTACAAATAGTTCATGTTGACTACAGATGAACTCAGACGTGGAATATTGAGACATTCAATATTATGTAACGGTAAACTGAGTATGCCATTCAGTCCAATGTTTTACGCAACATTTCCATAACTTATAATTTTCTTTTTATTCGACCGTAACGGATCGAGATAAATAGATTCAACCATTTTACAGAAGAGCCGATATGCTGTTAATGCAAACTTGATTACATCGATGAGCAAACTTGATTACATCGATGAGCAAACTTGATTACATCGAGGAGAGAAATCTCGATCACAAATTGTCGAAAATATTTAAAGATCCAGACGTAAACTCTGATTGTCGATATTACGCCGTGAGATAGTTAACGTTGAGGCTAATATCTGCTTCAGGACAGCTAAAAAAAAATTGTTACTTCTGATTCGTAACCCGCATCAAAAACATCGTTGATAATGCGCGAATTATCAATAAATAAATCTGTGTTCACCGTATTTACAGGAACACCGCGTAAGGTCAATAACAATTCATCTTTGATGAAACTGACACACAGCTTAATTACATGTAGTCCTACTATGAACAAATTCATCTCTTCTCGAAATAACTGGCTGTACTAATTTACTGGTCCAGTCAAATCATACACAGGAACTTCGAACCATTTATCTATGGTAGATCTTTTAAACTCCACACACTTAAGTCTAGGAGGCTTTTCTTTTTGTGGCTCAAAGAAACTATCGGAAATTGAGTATTCCCCAGCGGTAAACTGCGTAACAACTAAAGTTGATAGACCGCGAAATAGAAGTTCCGTTTGACTATTTGATATCGAGCGCAACCAGTTCACAATTGAATTTTCAAACGCATGAAACTCGGGAACCTCTTTAGTTTTTAACAGTTTCTCCTTTAACGCTCGACTGCGATGCTCAGAAAGTGTTGTCATCTTTCTTCCGGTATTTATTAATTAAAATTAAACTGACTTATAGACGTCGATATAAATCCGCAAGTTACGTCAATTTTCGCGGAATCGATTGAGTCGATTCTTGGAATGACACCGGTTGCAACGGTATCCAGGAACTTTTGATCACCCCCCGGGGTGGTGATATTTGTTACATCACCGTATAAATCGGTGTTAGTGAAACCGTTCGATGCCTTGGCGGTTTCAAAAATGGCGATCATCCCGCATCTATCCGACCCGTTGGTAGTCAAAGTGTTATCCTCGGATATCTCGACAGCTGAATCACTGGACAAACTTGGGACACAAGGCTTGTCTGCTTGATCGAATTCAAGTTTTAATTCGTCCATTTCAGAACATTCATGGACAAGGTCACATGTTAAATTCTTCGGAATAAACTTGAAAAGTGGAGTTTCCGCATTAGGCATTACGGCACGTGACCGATGAGTTCTTTCTGAGGAATTACAAATATCGGTTAACTGACGATACTGATCAGTTAATTTGTCAATTTTATTGATGATGTTAGTACACGTACGATCCATCCGGTCCCAGCAATCCTCTATTTTGGACGAAGTCATTTTCTGTGATTCGGGAGTTTCGGCTCGGATTTCGGTTGCTGCCATTACATTATCATTACGCATACAACTAATTCTTTGAACCGGTGATGATTGATTGTGAAATGGGTTTGCGGCCCGAGAAATTTCTACACGACTAAAACATTCCTCGAGTTTTGTCAAAAGTTCAAAGCATGTCAAATTACCATTCCGTGAAAGGACTATTCTATGACCGCATATCCCTTTAAACAAAAGAACAACTGTTCCCTATATTCCAGGTCGGACCATGTCTGTGCTATGGCAAACCTGCTAAATTTATTGGCAAAACTAGGCCAGTTGGAATAGCCATCAAAGAACAAGGACTCTGGAATATTATAACACCATTGAGATCGATTGAATGGACTATTACCCGTATAAAACTGACGGGATATGGAATTGCCACCCGTGGACGACAGTGGAATATGTCGCCCATCTAGCCATGATGATCTCATTTTTTCATCACTATCCTTACAATTAAGAGGAAACATGACGAGATAATAGTAAACAAAGTCACTCCCTAATTAAATAAAACACGTGTTGATATGCCCGTGCAGGCGTACACACAAGTCCTGACAAGAGCCGCGCGTGCAACTCGCTCAACAGCAATATATAGGTTAAATCCCGCTGGTAGCACGGGACTCCGTGGATAGGTGGAAGTAGTCCCGGTTATCCTGACGGACACCTGTATTATACAGGGCAAATTCACAATAACTCCAACTTTGACCAAGTTTCTTAAATACGGACATTCGGCTCACCATTCTAATCTAATACATATATAAATCTACGGCAGTTACAGTCATACTACTAAAAGGTCTGAACATACAAATATTAACTTTTTTCCTCCGACAATTAAATTCTAAAACATTTTTTTATGTAGTAGAAAAAGAAATAAAGACGTTTGAAGTATTTGTAGGTAAAAATTATTTCCTATTTTAGTGTAAATAGTTATTAAAATGAGTAACGTCTTATGTAAACAATGCACGCGCCATTGAGCCAATGATTGATGTCGCGTGATATGACGTCATGTGTTGAAGGCGGTCATCTTTTACAGAGATATTAGAATACTTTCGTAATACTCTACCACTTCCGGTTTTTGGAGTTATACTTCTTTCAACCCATGCACCGCCATTTATCCGCTAGTATAATATATACTTTAATATTAAATTATACATCAGAGAACCAAAACAACAAGTAATATTCATAGCAATACGAAAACGTTGCAGATATAACAATATGGCAACATCAACTTAACGCATCTTCCTTCCATCGATAAAGACACCTTCGCGCAAGTGAATTATTGATATAAAATCTCTCGCTCGCTCTCTCTCTCTCTCTCTCTCTCTCACACCACACACACACCACACACTGTTACAAATCAGACATTTGGGGTTTAACGTCCTACTGTTCTGCTCCGGCTGGGCTAATGAAGACGGGCATACGCCATACAGTATGCTATGGGGGACATTTTGCCTGGACAGCGGCGCTACGTCCTACCCATATATCGAATTCCAACTGTTAAGGGATCTTTTACGCGAACGACTAGACAGCTGTCCTTCTCAGGCCCTCCATCCTGCACCAGTGACAAGGGGAAACCACGCTGAAAAATCCCGATAAACTTTCTCGGCCAACACGGAGAGCGAACCCGCTACCTGCAGGCTAGCGAGTAAGCGCCCCCTCCCTCGGGGATCGTCCCATAGAAGATATAGCCGTGAAAGATGACTTCATATTTGTCTTACGTATCAAGGTCTCCCAGTCTCACTGACCGACTTCAAATTAGGTTTGATATAGTTACGCGCATACGTATGGAATAATATTGCCTAATTGTGTTACGTTGGGGGGCCCTCGCATGCCCAAAGACATAAGGCCCACCATGGGTAATCCGTCGCTGATTAGTGCCAATTAAAATTGATCTTTTTTTCAAGGTAGTCATCATATATACTATTCAAAAAAAGTAGGGGATATTTGATTTCGGGGGCATAATACTAAAATATGCAAATGACTACGAAAAAAGTCACTATATAACCTAACAGAAGAAACATTTCCAGTTACATGTGACGCCCAAACGCACCAATAGCTACCGCATGGAATGCAGGTGATGCTTGGGATCATCATGGGGGTCCAACCCAAGATTTGCACGACTCTGACTTTGAATGTTACAGTCATTGTGGCATTGAATTCCAGGGTGGAAACATCAGTTTAATTGTTTTAGTGACCAGAAAACAAATTTTGATATGCGTCGGCTTACCCAAAATGAAAGGTTACGTGCCCGTGGCATGCTACAGATCGGCACAACACAGGCGGTTGTGGCGCGGACGATGAATGTTTCTCAGTCTGTCATAAGCAGGCTATGGTCCAGATACCGTGATACACAATCTGTACAGGACAGACCACGCTCAGGTCGACCAAGGGCGACAACTCAAGCCCAGGATCGATTTATCCGTACCTTGGCCTTGAGAAATCGTGTCATCACAGCAAATCAGATCAGCGCTCGTCTTCAAACAGACACTGGTGTGAGAGTGAGTGGCCAGACGATTCGGAATCGACTGCATAGGGGTCACCTTCGCGCCCGACGTCCTCGCGTGATCCCTTGTTTGAGAGATCATCACATTCAGGCAAGACGTCGTTGGTGTAGGGATCGTCAACACTGGGATAATCGACGCTGGAGCAATGTGATGTTTTCAGATGAGTCAAGGTTCACTGTTGATTTTTTGGACAGACGTAGGAGGGTGTGGCGTCGTCGAAACGAGCGCTTCCAAGACGTTAACGTCATCAGACATGATCGATTTGGGGGTGGTTCTGTTATGGTGTGAGGAGGCATCACTGTTGCTGGAAGAACTGCTTTACATGTTGTTGCAGGGCGTGTTACAGGCCAGTACTACCGGGACAACATCTTGGCAGTACATGTTGTGCCGATCGCACGACGTCATGGCCGCCGTTTCATCTTCCAGGATGACAACGCAAGATGTCACAGGGCCAGGATCGTTACAGGTTACCTCCAACAACAGAACATCACCACATTACCTTGACCAGCACTGAGTCCCGACCTCTCCCCCATCGAGCATGTCTGGGACATGCTTGGACAGAGGTTACGTCAACGTCAACAACGTCCTGCCAATGTCCAAGAACTTGCTGCTGCGTTGCAACAGGAATGGGACAATCTGGACCAAAATGACCTTAGACGTCTCATTAGGAGTATGCCACGTCGGATCAATGCTTGTTTGGCAAACAGAGGAGGATTTACCCGTTACTGACTTGGTTGTGATGCTGTGGTAACTTTGCTGTTTGACCCCGGGTATCATTTTACCCTTATAATGGTCAGTCTGTGCCTTACTTAGTCTAACGATCATTTGGAATAAATCGATGAATGTGAACTTCATTTCATTTTGTCATTTGTTTCTTCGTCAGTTTCATTAGGTGACTTTAATAACACTTAAAAATCAAATATCCCCTACTTTTTTTGAATAGTATATGTTCAAGAAAATGATTTACTTTCTTATAGCAAGTAATAAACATACCTTTCAGCAGTATATGAACAGATATTACGGATTTCTTATTAAGATCCAAATTCTGAGTTTAAATAATTAAGTTTAGTAACGTGCAACTTAGATCTTTTCCAAGGTATTTAAATGTACATGTAAATAAAAATAAGCCAATAAACAGAGGGTTCGCTTAACTTTTCAAAAATGTGAGTTATATTCTTGCACATGCATATTTACATACCTTGATAACGGTATTAAGGTTGGATGATAATTAACAAAATATTGATTTGTAAAAACAAATATTGATTTGTAAGATACAAATGTTAATGTTAGTGTACAAATGTTAATGTACAAATGTTAATGTTAGTGAACAAATATTAGTGTACAAATGTTAGTGTACAAATGTTAATGTTAGTGAACAAATATTAGTGTACAAATGTTAATGTACAAATGTTAATGTACAAATGTTAATGTTAGTGAACAAATATTAGTGTACAAATGTTAATGTACAAATGTTAATGTTAGTGAACAAATACTAGTGTACAAATGTTAATGTACAAATGTTAGTGTACAAATGTTAATGTTAGTGAACAAATATTAGTGTACAAATGTTAATATTAGTGAACAAATATTAGTGTACATATGTTTATGTTAGTGTACAAATGTTAGTGTACAAATGTTAATGTACAAATGTTAATGTACAAATATTAGTGTACAAATGTTAATGTTAGTGTACAAATGTTAATGTTAGTGAACAAATATTAGTGTACAAATGTTAATGTACAAATGTTAATGTTAGTGAACAAATATTAGTGTGCAAATGTTAATGTACAAATGTTAGTGAACAAATGTCGAAATACGACAACAAATAAGAATTAAGGACTATGAATTAGGAACTAATAATTAAGAACACTAAATAAAGACCTGTTTGGTCTTCAATATCTCTGGCCTACCACTGGCCTCACTAACAGATCACTGTCGAAAAGGGCCATTTGCAGCTCACTGTGGACGCAGCGTAGTGGGTCGTGTCTGAGTTTGGTCACCAACCTCGCAATTTGAGATAAGATGGGCAAACCTATAGAAGCACGCGTGAATATATAGAAACAATTTAATGAGATTGTTGTAGACTTGTTGTAAAGTGAATATAGTAAACACTTGCTTCTATAACTTTCATCAAATTAAACGATCATTTAGGTGCTTAGAACTTTATGACCTCAGCTGGTTTTTGAATTGAATTGAATTGAATTGAAATGGAGTTTAACGTCCAACTGTTCTGCTCCTAACCTGGGCTAATGAAGACGGACATACGCCATACAGTGTGCTATGAGGGAAATTTTGCCCGGACAGCGGCACTACGGCCTACTCTTATATCGAATTCAAACTGCCAAGGGATCTTTTACGTGCACGCCAATGTGTACACGGGACCTCGGTTTTTCGTCCCATCCGAACGACTAGACAGCTTTCCTTGTCAGCCCATCCGTCCTGCATCACTGACAAGGGAGAACCACGCCGGAAAATCTAGATGAACTTTCTCGGCCAATGCAGGGATCGAACACCCGACCTCCAGGCTAGCGAGCTAGCGTCTTACCCACTTAGCCACGTGATCCCCCAGCTGGTTTTTGATAATATATGATATTGACATTTCAACTCTGTATAAACTTCTGTTAAGGCGTGGACTGGCTATGTTCTAATTAAATATGTAATTAATCCCATATGTCATTTACAAACTACATATGATCTGTGCACACGCTCCGCATTACTTCAAAGGAATACGCACTGGTCAGTAAGCATGCCATGACGAGATAAAAGAGACAATTGCATGTATGACCACGTGTCTTATTAATTGTCCGAAGGTATATAATGCGGAGTTTGCTGACAGAGAGACCAGCGGAGACAGGGAGACTGGCGTATGGACTCACCGAGTTCAGTCGCTGCCTTGGCAGAGGGGCTGAATGGTAGATTTAATATACTTATGTGGCGTCCTGATGTGTTCCTGTCGTAATCTAGTTCCCGATATAGTTTAGTTCCTGTATAGTCTAGTTTCTGTAGTATTGATGTAGTTGTGTTATATTCTGTTCCAATGTAAATAAACCATATATTTACGAAACTGATATCTGTTATCACTAAAGTAGTGTTACATCAATTGCGTGGTCATTTTTTTGTGCTTTTCAATTTTCATTTCAGTGCATTACAAATTAATCTTTATATATTAATCTTTCATATAACAGCGCAGCATTTTAAATTAACATTTATATTGAAAATATTGTCTTTATCATTCTCATTAATTTTAATATACGCTTTAAAAAAGGTAGGGGATATTAAAATGCAAATGCCTATGTAGGTTGTGATATAATAAATAGTCATGGACACTTGATATGCTTTGAGAACCACTAAGCTGCACATGTGACACGCAATAGCGCCATGCACGTGGGAGGGGTTCATCGTTAAATTTGACACTTCAAGGAAGGGTTGATTAAAACTGTCACGTGCTGGTTTATGTCCATGTTAGCATTCCTATCGGTTCTTGCATAGGATTTACTGTTTAGCGTATCATTGCTTTAGTTTGTTACGTTTAATTTGATCGGGAGACGTGTTCGTCGACGTCAACGTCAACCGACAACACTGCAAGAATTGGCACTGCAAGAGGAGTGGGTCAGATTGCCCCAAATCGTGATTGGACAGTTGAAATTTATCAAACAAGCGATATCTACTGATGTATTACTGGGTGATAAAACATGGAGACCCATCACGCTTGTTTATATCGATGTCAAGTTAATGAGTAAGGTTCTGTCTAACAGATTAAAACCAATGTTTAAACCAGTTAATATACTCTAATCAAACCGCGTCTATACCATGTCGCTATATTCATGGAATCGTTTTAATATTTAATACGTTACTGTCTTTTTCATTTCTTTGTTATAAAGGCCAAAATTGTAAACAGGCTTTAAGCCTAATTTTTCACCTTTGAAAATAAAGATATTATTATTATTATCAGTATGTCTTAGCACAAAACAGAGAAGTGGTGTATACAAATATCTCCATAGGAATTTACAAATAATAAATTATTCAAAATTAAAAAAGTAAATAACACATTATGTACCTTCTGCGAGTCTAATATAGAAACTGTGGAACATCTCTCTGTATCACAAATAATATGGAATCGTTTTAATACTATCCTAGATCGAACTGATATAAAGATCAATATAACAAACAAAGTCAAACATCTTGGTCTCACTAACAAACCGTTTTATATAAATAACACTGAATGGATCTTCATTAATCATGTAATTATTTTAACTAAGTTTTATATATATCGACTAAATTACAAAATGAAACATTAAATATAAATAAATATGAAAGTTTCTTAATAGAAAATGCTAAACTGGAGATAGAATTATCTCCGGAAAAACATAGAAATAAATGGCAATATTTTTTTAAATAATTAATAGATTCCTAGAACCTCTTGCCTACACATTTCCCATTGATGGATTTACATTTAATACTACTCTTCCTTTTTTTTTAGATCTGTGTACTGTAGGAAACCCCTATTAATAAAGCTGTATACAAAAGTGCATGTTATTTAAATTTAAATATGAATGTACTTAACATACTTGTAAGCCAATTCGTAAATAAAATTAATTAAAAAAATATATATATATACGGACGGACATGGGCAACAACAATATACGTCCACATAAAAATGTGGGCGTATAGAAACAATACATAGTGCATTTGATGTCACAATTTTAACTTATTCCAAACTGTACATATAACCTGAATAAAGTTTGATGCACTCAAAACATTAAGCTACGAAATAGTAATACTTGCCTGGATTTAGTCCAGTGGAACATTCGGCACATTTTGGCAAAGTGAAAGTCATAACAGTCACCACGGTAATCATCCACAAAACGTCCATTTGATGAATCATAAACTCACAACCAATCGCTAGTGAAGAATATACAATGTTTGCTGTGTCTTTTTAAAACAAACGGACGACAAAAAACAGTTTTTATGTGAGGAAAATGTATATGTCTGTTTATGATCCATTGTAAAGTAAGCTCTGGAATAAATATCGACTTGTAAATAAAACGACAATTAAATATTAATATTATGATAATAATTCAACTGAATAAAGAAACAGACAAATTATTAACGATATGTTATTGTTAATCGTGAAATGAACTTGAAAAGGCGTCATCTCGACCATAACACGTGGTGCCCCCTCAAATACATTGTTACACAATAGAAGAAGAATATCTAAAGGATATCATGCCATCTTTGACACGTGGTGTGATTAATTAAACATTTTATCGCATCAGCTGTCACTTATGACAATATAGTTGATTCTGTTTGTTTACGCAAATTCTAATGTAAATATTCTATCGTGATAAAAACTGTGTTCCGCTTGCTAATTTGATTAACCAATTGAGTTCACTCCGTTTCTGGGGTTTTACGTCTTCCACCAAGGGTGATATCGCAGATATATATTAAACGTAGTCACGGGAGACTGTTATAATATTATTCATAGCACATGTCATATACACCGCGGAGAAAGACTATACCCGAAAAAAAAACCCAGTAAAGAAGAGAAGGACGAGAAATTTGGAAGGAGGAGAAATATCTCAGGCGTCTTCATCTCGTGTGTGACGGTATCATAACCGTTATGAGAGTTTGTATTATATGTGATTTACATAACTTGCGTGTGTGACGGTATCATAAACGTTATAAGAGTTTGTATTATATGTGATTTACATAACTTGCGTGTGTGACGGTATCATAACCGTTATAAGAGTTTATATTATATGTGATTTAAATACCTTGCGTGTGTGACGGTATCATAACCGTTAGAAAAGTTTGTATTATATGTGATTTACATAACTTGCGTGTGTGACGGTATCATAACCGTTATAAGAGTTTATATTATATGTGATTTAAATACCTTGCGTGTGTGACGGTATCATAACCGTTATAAGAGTTTATATTATATGTGATTTAAATACCTTGCGTGTGTGACGGTATCATAACCGTTATAAGAGTTTATATTATATGTGATTTAAATACCTTGCGTGTGTGATGGTATCATAACCGTTATAAGAGTTTATATTATATGTGATTTAAATACCTTGCGTGTGTGATGGTATCATAACCGTTATAAGAGTTTATATTGCATGTGATTTAAATACCTTGCGTGTGTGACGGTATCATAACCGTTATAAGAGTTTATATTATATGTGATTTAAATACCTTGCGTGTGTGACGGTATCATAACCGTTATAAGAGTTTATATTATATGTGATTTAAATACCTTGCGTGTGTGACGGTATCATAACCGTTATAAGAGTTTATATTATATGTGATTTAAATACCTTGCGTGTGTGATGGTATCATAACCGTTATAAGAGTTTATATTGTATGTGATTTACATACCTTGCGTGTGTGATGGTATCATAAACGTTATACGAATTTGTATTATATGTGATTTACATACCTTGCGTGTGGGATGGTATCATAAACGTTATAAGAATTTGTATTATATGTGAATTACATACCTTGCGTGTGTGATGGTATCATAAACGTTATAAGAATTTGTATTATATGTGATTTACATAAATTGCGTGTGCGTAAAACATCCTTAAATTACTTACAACGTGTGCAAAAATTGGCTTTTAAATTAATTAATGATAAACGACTACCGAAAAATTCAACCTTATCTACTTATGAAACCCTAGCTAAATCACTAAATATTTTAACCATTTAAAATCGGTTCACCTTCAATAAATACATCTTACTTTTCAAATTAGTTCATGAAAAATGCCCAAACTACTTAACTAATATTCTCGTTTTTAAAAATACACATTATACCAATATTAATCGTCGATTTAATATTCCTCAACCTAATAAATCAATATATAAAAATAGTTTGAAATACATTGGACCTTGTCTCTGGAATAATCTACCTACCTCACTTAAAAACACAACTGTACTATCAGACTTTAAAGCGATTTTTACAGATTTTAAAGATTTACCTACTTCACTTCCGGTGTATTTTGACTTGTTAGTGTTACCATGGTACGGTCCATTGTATTACTCTATAATGTTGATAGATGACTCCTATTGACAAAAATTTTTAAATAAGGCAAAATTAAAAAAGTTGAATTTTTTCCTCGTTTTCAGTATAAGGCGGGGGGTGGGGGGGGCGGAAATTTTTGTTGACATATCTGGCTTAATCTACCCATTTCTATTTAATATATTGTGAACAAAGCAATTCCGATGGATCAGATCTGAATTGATCAATATGGCGTTGATGACGTCACCAAAATATGGCCATGCCGCCTCCACGACATTAAATTTCTCTTGGTTGTTATACAATTATTGTGGAAAAAGCACGCGAGGTCCAGTTCTCAACCCCCACTTTCTGTTAGAATCAATCAATCCAGCCCGCAGGGCCTTTATACGCCATATAGGGTGCTAGTAGCAGGGGAACATAAACATATTTTCCCACCGGGTGTGCGCCATCAAAAAATCGGCCCATTCAGCACTAGAAAATCAAATATTACCCCCATTTAGGTCGAAAACAAGTTAATAAGTATAGCATTATATAATATTTAAATGACTCGGTTGAATATAGATTTGAAGGCCTCGTATGGGTTTTATTGGATGTGGAGGAAAAACGGCAAGCGCCCAGTCTCAGGTTTGTGCGTGTGTGTGCGTGTGTGTGGGGGGAGGGGGGCATCCCTCCCAAACAAAAAACCCTCAACCACCTGATGTGCGACCCTGGCTATGAGGGTAATTGTGGCAGGACGACGGTATTACGATCTACTCCTATTTCGAATTCCAAATGTCACGGTTTGTTTTTATGTGCCTACCAATGCGTATTCCTACACAGGACCTAGTTTTTTGGTTCCGTTCGAACAACTAGTCGTCGTCCAAAGAATTGTACTCTGTGTAAAAACTCTATTTCTTTAATATGTGTTGCCTTACGCCTTATGCAAGTTATCATTAGAGACTTTTAGCAAGCATAAATTCCTGGTCCGTAGCCCGTATCCGTATCGATTTTGCGTGTGACATCATCAATGTGTGTGTATTTCCCATACGTGATACGGCACGCGGATACGACAGCACATATCGAACAGCTTTCATATGGAAGAGGTCCGTAAAACATCGTCGTCTTTTTATCGTCTTTAATTCCTTTAAGAAGCTGAAACGTTGTGGGGGGTTGGATGGCCGAATGGTTAGCACGTGCGTGCTGTATTATACGACCTGTCATTGAGTCAACTGGCGTGGTTTCGAATCCCCGGTTGTACGTGACAAGGAGTAGGGGTGCCTGTCCAATCTCGTGGGTTTTCTCCGGGTCCTCCGGTTTCCTCCCACTGCTAAAGACCCCTACGCGCAAGCGAATTATTGAAATAAAATTAAACCATATGTTAGTCCCGAAATGACCTAGTTTGAGTCGAGTGGACGTTAAACCCTATTTCTCTCTCTCTCTCTCTCTCTCTGAAACGTTGTGCCATAGCGTATTTATGAATCTATGTGTATCCTAGAACACGAAGGTGTATATTTGATGTGGTTTTAACCATGATAAAGACTGGAATTTAATCATTATTTTTTTATGAGCTTTTCTCCCAATTTTCATATTTTTACTGTCTGACTGTCTGCATGCTGGTTGATCTACGTGCTAAATTTGGGGAGGTGGGACCTTGCAAATCTGCAAATGATGTGATTCTATGGCAAAGGGGTATAAACTTTCTGAAATGATACATTAGTGAAACCAAAAACTTCTGTCGAATCGAAGTCGAAGTTTTTAAATAAAATTCCATATTAAATTTGTTTTAATAGCTCAATGACTGTCGACAGTAATTTGTAGGCTAGACATTCGACTAGTACTGGTGGTGATCTTGGTAGATAACTGGCATCATGCTGTAATAAAACTATCTCAGCTCAGCTACTCATACGTACGTGGCGCGAAAATCTGCCACAACTCTAAAACTACAATATATAACGCAATGTATCACGTATGATACGGATACTTCGTACGAGATACCTATTGGGAAGATTTTGCTTGCCAAAAGACTCTATTGTATGCGTTTTCGGTCGTCATAGAAACGTCGGTCTTATGCCAAGGACAAGGTAATGGGACTGTTTTCATGTAATCGGCGAAAATGCATACGTGGCCACATTAGCCGGACGTCAGCATATTTAAAAGAAATAGAATTTGGAAAACAGGCCCACAGATATGTGTAGGCTTAATTCTAAGGATATTTATTCATGACAAACGCTTGAATAAAACAACAAAAACCATGTAATGTTTTATTATTCATTTATGTCGGTCAAACATGCTAACTGTCAGAAATTTCGTCACAGGGTCCCGCATGTTTAACTCTTACTGTAATTCCAGACCTGTAAAAGATTTAAAAACAATGTCTATGATTTTTACATAATGATACGTCATTTCGGAACTAACATGGTGCAATTTATTTCAGTAATTCGCTTGCGCGTAGGGTTCTTGAGCAATGGGGGGTAATTTTGGGGATCCTAAGGAAACCAACGAGGTTGCGTAGGCGACCCTAATCCTTGTCACGTACATGCTTGGGATCGAAACCACACCACTTGGCTCATTTACAGATCTTATATGTGATAAAGCACACGTATTTGATCCCTGGCCATTGTCCGTGATCTTTACATTATCATTTTGGGAGCAACATATAGTATAATTTGGTTTCAATAATTAGCAGTGAGAGCTAATCGAGGGACCCGAAAGGGAAATCTACAAGGTTGCGCAGACGATCGTTCTCCGTATCACGTACAAGCTTAGGAACGAAATATCACCACTTGATTGAATGACAGACATTATGATTTAAAGGACACGAATTAGAACCCCTCCCCCACCTTACTACCCCCCCCCACCGCCCCCTCGTACACAATGAGATGTGTTGTTCATGAGTTCAGTGCATGGATTATTCTGGAACTAATCTGGCTATATGGTTTATGTTAAACTGACCTGCACTGGTTATTCAAGAATTGGGAATATTCTTGAAAAATGGTCACTTTCAAGCTGAGGTGTGAAATGAAATGAAATGAAATGAAATAGGGTTTAACGTCCTACTGTTCCGCTCCGAACTAAGCTAATGAAGACGAGCATACGCCATATAGTGTGCTATGAGGGACAATTAGTCCGGGCACCGGCGCAATGGCTTACTCTTACTTGGAATATCGAATTCCAACTGCCAAGGGATCTTTTATGTGCACGCCAATGTGTACGACTAGACAGCTGTCCTTGTCAGGCCCTTCGTCCTGCATCACTGACAAGGGGGAACTCGCCGGAAAATATGGATGAACTTTCTCGGCCAATGTAGGGATCGAACACGCGACCTCCAGGCTAGCTAGTCGGCGTCTTACCCACTTAGCTACCGTGACACCAAACAGAGGTGTGATGTAGGTGATCAAATCTGACCCCTCATGTATTAAAGGGACAATAACACTCTTGCTGGCTTGACAGCTCCAGAAAATAAAAAAATAACCTTATTCTAAGTACTAGATGTTTTAGTGTCTTACCTGTTGTGTACATTATCCATTAAATCCTATTTTACTTGTCCACAGGGTTCAAAAATATGTTTAAATTCAAGTCACATTTGGAAACGTTTACGTCAGGCTTTTCAAATCATTTAGTTGAATTTTTCCAATTTTTTAAATTAGGTGTGTTAAGATGAAATTTGTATCGTCAATTAATTGGAATATTGTAAAATAGTACAATTTGTTGACCAGAATAAAGATTGGGACATATTATTCAGTTACAACAAGAGTGGTATTGAGCCTTTAAAATTAAATTTGACAAATACTGTGATTCTGTGTTTAAGTTACTGGTTCGCTAATCTTGAGGTCTCGGGTTCGTTTCCGGGTTGTTCTCTGTGTCAGTGGGTGCAGAGTTCGGGGGGAGAGGGCGGAGGGGGGGGGGGCTGGCAGGAAACAACGTCTATTCTTTTGGGTAGAACTATAAAACCTGATGCCTATTTCACGAAATCTTAACTAAGATCAAATCCAAATTTTAGTAATTTGATTGGATAATATTAGATTGATTTTAGCGCTTAGCCAATCAAAATTGAAGTATCTACTAAAATTTGGATTGTATCTTTAGCTAAGATTTCGAGCAACAGGGCTCAGGTCCCGTGTATACGTTGGCGCGTGCGTAAAAGAACCTTGGCAGGTTGGAATTTGATATAAGACAGAGAGAGAGAGAGATAGGGTTTAACGTCCACTCGACACAAACCAGGTCATTTCGCGACTAACATATGGTTCAATTTTATTTCAATTATTCGCTTGCGCGGAGGAGTCTTTAGCAGTGGGAGGAAACCAAAGGATCCGGAGAAAACCCACGACGTTGGACAGGTGACCCTATACCTTGTCACGTACAACCGGGGAATCGAAACCAGGCCAGTTGACTCAATGACAGGCTTATGATACACCGCACACGTGCTAACCATTCGGTCATCCAGTCCCTCGAATTCGATATAAGAGTAGACTGTATTGCCGTTGTACAGGCAAAATTTCCCGCAGAGTACATTGTACGTCGTATATCCTTCTACGTTATCCGTGCGATAGCGTAGGACGCTAAACCCCATTTAAATTCTAATGTTATGCTACATAGACTTATTTGACCTTAAATCTGACCATCTCGATTAGAACTATATATAAATGTTACGTACACGCATGCCCGCGCCGCCATATGGCATCTGTTGTCATAGGTAACGCCGTCATCTCCACATATTGGGGAATACAACGTTATGCAACTAAATAAACATCGCCCAGGGGCTACAGTTGCACACCAACACCCTGAAAATATACATTCAATAATATCTTTCACTTCTTTTGTCTGATGCAAATTTTGACGCATTTATACACAGCGAATGTTGAAATATAGCCCAATCTGATTAAAACACAGATCCTATTTCGTTTCGTTTTTTATAGTTCAAAATTTCGTTGTACTTGTCTTTACTACCCGGAAAAGTTATTATATTACGTTATTACGTTTTGGTTGAAGTACGGGATAAGCCAATGAAACCTGTTACGGCGACTTCTTGGTGTAAAACACTAAAAACGTCAACGCTGATTGATTAATCAATGTCTGACGCCATATGTCAACAGCCGCTCATTTGACCGAAGACACGACCTTCGAGTACAACTTGTCAGATCTTCATATAGTGTAGGCCATCGAAAGTATAAAGAAAAACGGAACAAAATATAGATCTGTATTTTAATTTAAATATAATTTAAATATAGCCGCCGATTCTGTGTTCCATTGTCGTGCAACGGTAAGTCACAAATAAAACTAAAATAAGAAATGAAATGGGGTTTTACGTCCTACTGTGCTGCGGCCTATTGTTAAATCAAATACCATGTGCAAGGGAACTTTTACGTGCATGTCAATGTGTAAACGGGACCTCGGTTTGTCGTCCCATCCGAACGACGAGACAGCAGCTGTCCCCCTTCCTGCACCACTGAAATCCCATTGAATTGAACACCGGGATCGAACACGCAAACTTAGCCACCGTGGCCCGTCTTCATTAGCCCAGTTCGGAGCAGAACAGTAGGACGTTAAACCCCATTTCATTTCCAACTAAAATAAGTAAATGCTCCTTAGCAGATTGCCGGAAAATCGTTCGCACCACACGACATAACGCAACTAAGTTCTTAACGTTAGTTTAAGCTAAAAGGTCCATGGGTCGTAGCAACCTCCTACTGCCTATTATTAATAATTAATATAGATGCTGACGATTTATTTATTTGTTTATTTATTGTTGTTTCCTTCCTACTGTTTACTAAATTATGAAGACCCAGCATTACCATGTCAAACAGGAGCCGATATTTAGTGGGTTTAAGTTTGGCCTTTGCAAATAAAACGTTCAAATGTAATGACTATAGCTCGTCTTGAAACTTTTCCCTAAGCTGTTTGTTCAGAAATAGGGCGGTTGGGTGGCCGAATGGTTAACGCATGCGCGTGAAACCACAAGGTCTGTCATTGAGTCAAGTCGCTTGTCCAACCTCGTGGGTTTTCTCCGGGTCCTCCGGTTTCCTCCCACTGTTAATTATTGAAACAAAATTAACCATATGTTAGTCCCTAAACGACCAAGTGTGTGTAGAGTGGACGTTAAACCCCCTCTCTCTTATCTAACGTCTAATTAATTCAACCAATTATAAGATAAACGACTAATTAATTCAACCAATCATAAGATACACGTTTAATTAATTCAACCAATCATAAGATACACGTTTAATTAGTTCAACCAATTATAAGATAACGTCTAATTAATTCAACCAATTATAAGATAGACGACTAATTAATTCAACCAATCATAAGATACATGTTTAATTAGTTAAACCAATTATAAGATAACGTCTAATTAATTCAATCAATTATAAGATAAACGTCTAATTAATTCAACCAATTATAAGATAACGTCTAATAAATTCAACCAATAATAAGATAACGTCTAATTTATTCAATCAATTATAAGATAACGTCTAATTAATTCAACCAATTATAAGATAACGTCTAATTAATTCAACCAATTATAAGATAACGTCTAATTAATTCAGCCAATTATAAGATAACGTCTAATTAATTCAACCAATTATAAGATAACGTCTAATTAATTCAATCAATTATAAGATAATGTCTAATTAATTCAATCAATTATAAGATAACGTCTAATTAGTTCAACCAATTATAAGATAATGTCTAATTAGTTCAACCAATTATAAGATAACGTCTAATTAGTTCAACCAATTATAAGATAATGTCTAATTAGTTCAACCAATTATAAGATAACGTCTAATTAATTCAACCAATTATAAGATAACGTCTAATTAATTCAGCGAATTATAAGATAAACTTCTAATTAGTTCAACCAATTATAAGATAACGTCTAATTAGTTCAACCAATTATAAGATAATGTCTAATTAGTTCAACCAATTATAAGATAACGTCTAATTAATTCAACCAATTATATGATAAATATGTAGTATACCTGCAGTTAAAACTAACAGCAACAAACAAGTCTTCATGTTACGTCTTAAGACAGGTGATATAGTTGAGTGGAGTGGACAAGATGGCAAACTTGTACAGATCGTTTGGGTTTTGCTGTGTTTTTAAAGAGTTACATGAAAATGGTTGACAGATTAATTACCTATTATCACTATTACAACCGACATTTATATCTATCAGTAATCTATGGGCCATTCGACAATGGCGATAAACTTGTTTATCTGTGGAATAACAAAATAAAAGTTACATCATCCGCTTGATAATGTAAACATGTGTACGCCGGCGGTTATAATTAAAAAATACTTGGTTTTTTTTAAAAACTAAAAGGTCATATAAAGATTTGACACATTAATTATCTATTATTCTTAAAATTGCGTAATTAGAACGGATAAAAACCGACATTGGTATAATCGATACGTCATTAAAGTGGTTTCCGCTGCTTGATAACGGTTGGGTGGGGGTGGGGTGGTCACGGTGTCTAAGTGGTGTAATACTATTTGATGATTTATGCGAAATTGTATTAGACGAATATAACTGCATCATAGGACATGAGTTATAATTTGATAAATACATATGTTTTATTTATATTCTCCATTGTCAGTATATTAGCTATGGTATGGGTTTATTTAAAACGCAAATTAAATTGTTTATGAAATATTGTGAAAATAACAGGAACGGGGGTCCGTGCTGATATGATACATGAATTGAACTATAGGTTAATAAATACATTTGTCATGGTCAGAAATGAAAAAAGTTTGGCAATGAGTCCCTGTTGGTATGCAAGGCATGAAGTACGTAATCGGAAAGTTACCATTTCATATTTGGCATGAGTGATCAATCGCATGATTAATTACATCACAATTAGCCAATGGAATAATTAATGGCTGTGAATCTGAGAGTATATAATTTATAGAATGTGCGCTCTAGGGTAGACAGGCATGTAGTTGTCGTGGAGAGAAGATGTAGGAATTTCCATCAGCAGACTCGCCGATTCTGCGTGAGAGCGGGTTAGAAAGAATTACTTTATTATGCTTGTAACTTTGTAACCTATATTTAGCATTGCTTAATATAAAATATATTCGATTTGGTTGCAAAGCCTCAGGATCGAGTATCCTAGAAGAATTTGTCTAGAAGGAAACGTGTATAAACCAGAATTCTGGAGGAAAAAATTGGTGGAAAAAGAAATCTGGTGGACAAATTGGTGGAAATATTCTCAATTGGCTAAATGCATTTTCCGATAAATTGAACATGTTTAAATTTGTTTCACAGGCCAAATCCTACTCATTGAAATTTAAATTATTAAATAAGGGTTTTAACTTTAAGCATAGGAAATAGGATAGATAATCAAGCGTAACATGTAGGTTAATATACTATTCAAAAAAAGTAGGGGATATTTGATTTTTAAGTGTTATTAAAGTCACCTAATGAAACTGACGAAGAAACAAATGACAAAATGAAATGAAGTTCACATTCATCGATTTATTCCAAATGATCGTTAGACTAAGTAAGGCACATACTGACCATTATAAGGGTAAAATGATACCCGGGGTCAAACAGCAAAGTTACCACAGCATCACAACCAAGTCAGTAACGGGTAAATCCTCCTCTGTTTGCCAAACAAGCATTGATCCGACGTGGCATACTCCTAATGAGACGTCTAAGGTCATTTTGGTCCAGATTGTCCCATTCCTGTTGCAACGCAGCAGCAAGTTCTTGGACATTGGCAGGACGTTGTTGACGTTGACGTAACCTCTGTCCAAGCATGTCCCAGACATGCTCGATGGGGGAGAGGTCGGGACTCAGTGCTGCCCAAGGTAATGTGGTGATGTTCTGTTGTTGGAGGTAACCTGTAACGATCCTGGCCCTGTGACATCTTGCGTTGTCATCCTGGAAGATGAAACGGCGGCCATGACGTCGTGCGAACGGCACAACATGGACTGCCAAGATGTTGTCCCGGTAGTACTGGCCTGTAACACGCCCTGCAACAACATGTAAAGCCGTTCTTCCAACAACAGTGATGCCTCCCCACACCATAACAGAACCACCCCCAAATCGATCATGTCTGATGACGTTAACGTCTTGGAAGCGCTCGTTTCGACGACGCCACACCCTCCTACGTCTGTCCAAAAAATCAACAGTGAACCTTGACTCATCTGAAAACATCACATTGCTCCAGCGTCGATTATCCCAGTGTTGACGATCACTACACCAACGACGTCTTGCCTGAATGTGATGATCTCTCAAACAAGGGATCACGCGAGGACGTCGGGCGCGAAGGTGACCCCTATGCAGTCGATTCCGAATCGTCTGGCCACTCACTCTCACACCAGTGTCTGTTTGAAGACGAGCGCTGATCTGATTTGCTGTGATGACACGATTTCTCAAGGCCAAGGTACGGATAAATCGATCCTGGGCTTGAGTTGTCGCCCTTGGTCGACCTGAGCATGGTCTGTCCTGTACAGATTGTGTATCACGGTATCTGGACCATAGCCTGCTTATGACAGACTGAGAAACATTCATCGTCCGCGCCACAACCGCCTGTGTTGTGCCGATCTGTAGCATGCCAAGGGCACGTAACCTTTCATTTTGGGTAAGCCGACGCATATCAAAATTTGTTTTCTGGTCACTAAAACAATTAAACTGATGTTTCCACCCTGGAATTCAATGCCACAATGACTGTAACATTCAAAGTCAGAGTCGTGCAAATCTTGGGTTGGACCCCCATGATGATCCCAAGCATCACCTGCATTCCATGCGGTAGCTATTGGTGCGTTTGGGCGTCACATGTAACTGGAAATGTTTCTTCTGTTAGGTTCTATAGTGACTTTTTTCGTAGTCATTTCCATATTTTAGTATTATGCCCCCAAAATCAAATATCCCCTACTTTTTTTGAATAGTATATATTATTTAGGAATGTCAAACTGGAGTTATCTTAATTTAAAGTGAGCCTATAGAGAGTACGTTATTAAATTTTAGGTATCTCAGGAATAACAATAATGCAGAATAGGGAATAAAATACAGAATTAACGCTGTCTCCGAGTTAACAAGAACTGCAGAGCTAAACTGTAAAATTTGTGGGTGATTCCTCAAAATGTTTTAGTTGGCGTTCTGCTGGCTCGTTAAAATTCGTGTTTGTGTCATCCATTTAGCTAAGGGGAAATCCACAAGGTTGCGCAGACGATCCTACTCCGTGTCACGTCCAAGCTTAGGAACGATATCTCACCACTTGTTTCAATGACCAGTGACAGACTTTATGATTTAAAGCACACGAATTAGAACCCTCGAACGTAGGACGTTAAACCCCATTTCATTTCTAATGGTATGCTACATAGACTTATTTGATCCCAAATTTGAACACCTCGTTTCAATCTGATTAAAATACAGATCTACATTACGTTTCGTATTTTTATACTTGGTGTATTTTCTTCTTCTTATCGATCTCGGTTAATTAAGATGTTTGTCTTACCAGGAATAACGATGCAACATAGCTGCTTACATATGGTACAATGCATAATAGAATAAAGTCATTCTCATAAACCTCATCCAGCCAGACTCGCTGGGTGAGTCTACTGATGGAAACTGCTACATCATATGATCGAGGAACTCAGATGGTAATCTCTACGGAATCTAAAGAAAATATACCTTAAAAGTTTGCCATGATCTCTTTTATAGGACCCATAGACATCGAGCACAGACTAGGCTATTCATGACCCTGAACCTGTGCAAATACTGATATGATTGGTTACTTAAGCCAAATGATTCAATTACTAAATTTCCAATCACGTGTAATCTGGTGATATGTTGTTGACACATAGAACCAGTTTTGTTTTGGTTCTATAACTTTTTTTATATATAACAATATGTCATTCATTCGCTGATTTTGATTTAAGTACATATATGTGAATCTAATAATTTGCCAAAGATATACATTATTCAATGCTACTAATTTAAAAAGCAAAAATTCTAGCAAAAGTCTTACGTTCGTCCTTTTCTTTAAGATTTTTTGCGAGTACGAAGGGTGGCTTCTCCCAGAAGATTTCGAAAACTAGAAGCTTGAAAATGCCATTTCCATCGATGTGAAACAAGAATCTGGTGCGTCCCCCTTATTGTATATATGCTTGCTCGATTCTCCTTTATTGTATGGTGACTTATTGTATGCCAGGTTGATTTTCGCTCATGTCGTCATAATATTCCGGTTCGATGGATTTCGAGAAATATTTTTGTAGAAAGGTTATTGAAGAAATGTTTTTGGAGAAGTGTTTTGTAAGATGTGTATTTGGAGATTTGTATTTAGAAATTTGTTATTTCATATTTGTTTTTCGTTGTATTTCTCTGATGAAATGTAAATGTAGGCTAATTTTTGATTTTCTAAAATAAATTTTATCTTTATATACTCTTCAAAAAACAAAAAAAGTGGGAGATATTGAAATGCAAATACCTATGCAGGTTGTGATATGATAAATTGTCATGGACACTTGACATGCTTTGAGAGTATGTTCACAGATGAAGAACTTATAATCGCCCAACATATTTCATATTTGTTTTTCGTTGTATTTCTCTGATGAAATGTAAATGTAGGCTAATTTTTGATTTTCTAAAATAAATTTTATCTTTATATACTCTTCAAAAAACAAAAAAAAGTGGGAGATATTGAAATGCAAATACCTATGCAGGTTGTGATATGATAAATTGTCATGGACACTTGACATGCTTTGAGAGTATGTTCACAGATGAAGAACTTATAATCGCCCAACAGAACCACTGAGCTGCATGTGCGACACGCAATAGCGCCATACACGTGGGTGGGGTTGATTGTCATATTTGACACTTTAAGGAAGGGTTGATGAAAACTGGCGCTTGCTGGTTTATCCTGTAGCTACCCATTATTGCTTTTCTATCGGTTCTTGCATAAGATTTATGATTTAGCGTATCTTTGGTTTAGTGGGTTATGTTTAATTTAATCGAGAGACGTGTTCGTCGACGTCAACGTCAACCGACAACACTGCATGCCACGACGAATTGCTGAATGTATGAGGATTGGTGGAGCAATTACTCATTATTAAGACAGAAATAAAAAACGTTCATTTTGACTTTTGACAGTGTATCTCTTTGCGAGT